CGGTTATGCATTTTGGTAGCCCGACTGGAAAACACAATAGCCCAGGGACGTCGGGCTAGCGATTTTGCAAGCCCTGCCACACCTATGAGGTGGATAGATTATCTCGGCAAAGGAGAAGTGCTCACTAACACAGATTTAGACAGATTTGTGAACAATATTTGAGAGAAATAGGCCTTTTGTGTACATAGAAAAAGTCTTAGATCTTTGAGTACAGCTCATGAAAAATGGGGGCAAAAACAAAAGTGTTGCGTTTGTAATTTTGTTCAGTGTATTTATATGTATTATCCAAAACAACCTGATTCTACATACAGTTGTTTTAGATAATGCTACCAAACTCAAATATGGCCTCACTCATAAATTTTGTTGTAACCCATGTAGCACCTCCCACAGGCCCACTGATTGAGGCCTGACATTTCACCCACTCGTTTCTCTGTGGCACTTCCTCTTCAGCCTGTAATAGTGCTTCGGCCTTTTGCACCAGTGCTGGTAATATAGCCTTTCGTGTGCTTCATGTGTGCTATTTGAACATTGAAAGCATGGAATCAAGCCATATGTTCTCTTAGCGCTTTAATACTGTGCTTGTCCAGTCCTGGCAGGATTACGCCAGGGTATTTATTCAAAGCCTTGTGACGTGACTGCCTGTGTCAGGGATGTCAGGAATGAGGAGCAGGGATCTACTGGACCTGAGATTGTGAGATATATAACACAAGTGGTATATAAAGAGAGAGGAGCAGTGGTACACTACATGTATGGAAAGAGGGTTAACATTCCCTCTGCCTCTTGAGTTATTCCAATAGGATTGTACATTCTTTCTTAACTGTTTGTTTATCTTTGCCAGCCTGGTGTATGAGATTCCTCGGGCTGATGACATTCATCCTCTCCTGTGCATTTTGCCCTAAAACTTGTTTCACAATTGTTATTAAAAGTTGTATTATTAGTTTAAGGAATGTTTCTAGTGTCATAACACACACAGCTGTCATAACATTTTCAATATGCTATACATTGTGTGCACAAAAGAGTTTAAAAAATGCGTTTTACTGTTTAAAAATAGCAGAAAAGTGCCATCATATTTGGATTTTAACGACAGCAGCAGCATCATTTCTGTTAGAATGTGCTTTTTTGCTAAATGGAAATTATTACAGTGCTCAATAGTAAAATACATGTAGGGGTTAGGGTTGTCACAATACCAGTAGTCAGTACCAATACCAGTAAAATATCACGATTCTCTAGCAATTTTGATACCAGAGCAAAAACTGTTGTTGAATTACTTGAAAAATGGTGTCCCTTTTTGTCTCATCCAATGGTTATCACTGTCAATCATCGCCATTTCCGATTCAATTGCGCATTTAAATACGGTTGTCTCAAACTCTGCAGTGTTCTCAGCAGCATGAAGAACTAAACTTGTATTCAGATTGTGAATGGATTATAAACAGAAAGAAAGAGAAGAGCCTCCCTTTATAATTACAAAGGCTGTCAATCTCTAAAGCGCAAGCTCACTGAATTCTGCATTCTCGTGAAAACTCCCATTATAATACAAAAGCTGTCTTAAATGTACAATGAATATTTACATCATGTTTATACTTTTTTGGTCACAATGAAAGGATTTGCAAGCTTGCGGCTCACGTTGAACAAGACAAAATCTTGTGAGTTTTCAGCGGTGTTAAGCAGATTCTGACTAACTTACTGACTAGCACCTCTGATGGGCCATTGCGTTCACGTGCTCAACAGATATGATTGTGATTGGCTACAATGCTCAACACACTATGGGCCCTATTTTAACGATCTGAAACGCAAGTGTCTAAGCGCAACTTTGTGGGTGGATCCCGGCACTGTTGCTATTTTCCCGGCGGGATAAATGCCTCTTGCGCCTGGCGCAAATCTAAAAGGGGTTGGTCTGAAGTAGCTTCATTATTCATAGGTGTGGTTTGGGCGTAACGTGAAATAAACCAATCAGAGCGTCATCTCACATTCCCTTTAAGCGCAGGCGCGCATGTTGTATGGCGGATTGCTATTATAATGGCGGATTTGCAGGCGCGCGCCAGGAGCGGTTCACAGCCGAGGAGACCGACGTTCTTGTCAGGACCGTGAAAGACAGAGAAGTGACGTTGTATGGGGATGGGAGAAACCCACCCAAATCAGCGTCGGTTAAACAGGCATGGGAGGAAAAAAAACTAATTTTTTTACATCTTCATGGACACCACAATGATTTCCCTCATGTGTTAATATTTTTTCCTTGTTATAATGTATGATTTGCAAAAATAAAAACTGCTGCATCTGTGTTGATGAGAGAATCAAAGTGTATGCGCGTTGTGCACCCGCTACATTATGGCCAAGCATGCGCGCTTAAAATAGCATTATGAACAACGCGAAACGTTGTTTTATAGAACAGCGTTTTATATAGTTGCGTTATAGAACGCAACGCAAATTTGTTTTATAGAACAGCAAAATAGCATGAGGGAAAGTTTGCACTGGAAGACGCCTCCTCTTTGCGCTGAACCGCCCCGGGGAGCGCAAGTGTATTTCCTAGTTAACCGACGTGCGTCTGTGGAGGGAAAAGTCCGCTTTGCGCGGGTGCAAAATAGGAATGATACATGCGTCAGTGTACAAAGTCATTTGCGCCGGGTGCAAGATAGAGCCCTTTACATATACTATGTCTTGGAGTGCTCGAACAAACACGAACGGGAGCATTTGAAAGCAGCGTCTATAATCGGATACAGAATATTCCTATTAATTGAAAAATGCCATTTTTTAGCACCTCTAAATGAATATCCATTTTCAATACTCTACTGAATTTTTGTTTTTAATTTATTTAGATGAAATTGTATAACATTTTCAGCCATAATGTGAAAATTTTCAGCTTGAATTCCAGAATTATAATATCAGTGCACAAGTAAATATGTTATGAAAATATATTTGTTTTCGAAGAAATGCATTTTTTGTTTTAAAGTGGCGTCATTGCTACACATAGTGAAAAGACCCGATTAATCAATAATGAGAAAAGCTCTGCTGCCCACTCTGATTGTGTCTGTGATTCGATATGACCTTTAGTGTCCCACCTCAACAAGCTTATGTCTTAGTTTCCTCTGCATCCCATTTTCTGGGTTTGAGTTGGATGCAAATGGATAGAGGATTTACTAGGAAATAAAGAGAGAGAGAGACACAAAAAATTACACGTTGGAATCAAGTGAGTGACAGATGGGCCGAGAGAGAATGAGGTTTACCCAAAGCTGGCAGCTGCTTCAGAGTTCATCATCTTTTTCATTCTGGATAGAAAGAAAAGGGTTGTAAGTCATTTGTGTTCGGGTCACAGTCTTCAGTTTTCCGTTGCTCTCTTCTTCTCACTCGCCTGCACACAGGTGCGGTTCCCCGCCCTGGGTTATGAGATAACAGTCATTTGGATTCTGAGGGAGGGTGTATCACCACACAAATGGCGGAGCAGATGGAGAGTGCGAGTAGGGGGAGCTGTTTGTGTTTGTTCACACACTAGGGTTGTGTAATACTTTTCAAACCAAACAGAACAAAGATGTGGCCTGGTTTTGTGCCTAAAGCATGTGGCAGAAATCTGTGATGCTGATGTAGGGAAAGAGGGGTTTAGAACACACACACCGATGAGACATAGACTGAAAGTTATGTAACTGTAATGAAACTATGGTAAGAAACATAATCCTACAGGCTGATTTTTCGGCAGGATTTTTTGAGGAATTAATTTAATATTTGTTATACATCGTGTTTGGGGTTCCTTAAGTCAGACAAGTTGAAGTGTCATTCTAAAAACTTACTAAATCTATCAAGTGAGATTTGACCAGTGATCTGGCACTTGGTATTTGGTCTTTAAAACTTGATCTCCTTTAATGCTCCATAATCCAAAGAATTGCAGAGCTCTTGGCACTCTTGTATTCATGTAGCGTTTGAGTAGTTTGAAAAATAAATAGTAAAATCACAAAAAAATAAAAAGTGAGGAGAGCTGTGGCATAGCAGTTTGCACACATGCTCCTGACATGATGAGCCATGGTTCTGATGTGGGTAATTTAGGTTTGAACCTGACCCATCTTGACCCCGTTCACCCGAATAATCTTTTGTCTTACTGTCTCCACTTAATAAATATGGTAAAAAATAAATAAATAAAAAACAACGGCAAGATAAATGTCATCATGGATATTATTTTCTATAGGATTTTAAGTCAATATGAAATAAAAATGGACCATATTGTTGGAGCCGATTGCCTCATGGGCAGGGCTCCGAAACATTGTGTGTTTGTGCTTCGTGCGACTTGGGCTTTTAGTCTCGGCTTGTGGTACTTTCCGAACTCGTTCCCCTCTCTCTCACACATTGCATCCTGTCAGATCTTTATTGTCCTACCAGCAAGATACCAGAAAAGTAAATCTTAAACATGTTATATAAAATTATACATTTATTACAGGTTCCATGCTTCATTGTGAATGATTAATCAATGCACATTATTCCAAAGGAAATTGTCTCAGAATGTAATTATTTGCCTCTAAGTAAAATGTGAATGTAGTTGGAAGTTGATTGAGCTATGAGCTATAATGAAGGTACCATGCGGAGCAGGTCATGACTCATGGCCAGTTTCATTAGCCACAATAATGACAGGAAACAGCCAGTCAGTTTAGACACACACTTCAGCTACATTTAAACAGCACATCCCATTAACAGTGCTTGGCTTAACGGGAAGGAACCAGGGAACAAATTGAAGCAAATCCTTTATAGGTCAGAACTATTGCAAGCTGGAAATCTGTGTTGGGTTCTTTCCGTTAAAGTGAAGTCGTTAGGTTTGGGTTAAATACTTGTGGGCATTTGGGCTGTTTTGCATAGTACGTACTACTATGTAGTCACAGCAGCATGTATTATAAAAGTTGTGTGTTGTCTTAAATCAGTGGTTTACATAACAACGAAGAGGTGAAGCCCAATATGATAGGCTAAACGCTTTTCTTAAATATGTCCAAATGTGTTTCATGTTTTGCCCATGTTTTGTCCCTCAGGAGTCGGAACCTATCTGGTTCTCCTCGTCCACGACCCGTGAAGAAAATCCACTTTATTAAGAACATGAGGCAGTACGACACCAGGGGCAGCAGGTATGTTTGTTCATTTCTCTGTGTGGGTATTGGGGTTGTTAATACTGGTGATAACAGTCGTGTGTGTGTGTGTGTGTGTGTGTGTGTGTGTGTGTGTGTGTGTGTGTGTGTGTGTGTGTGTGTGTGTGTGTGTGTGTGTGTGTGTGTGTGTGTTTGTGCCTGTCTTTTCCACACTATGTAATGTTTTCCCCTCTCTGTGCTTCAAAACAAACAATCTGCCTCTCGTCATCATTATTTTCTCAGTTTGAAGGTGATCCGTTACACTTGCTTCATGCTGTGGCTTATGTACGATTCATCATGTGAGGTTATCATATCTGACAGTTTGAGACACTGTAGAGGGGAAGTTTTTTTTTTTTTAAAGGATTGCAAGGGCACATGAATGAAAAAAATAATGATTATGAGGTGCTCAGATAAATCATTTGTAATTGTTGATTTTAGATTACAAAATTATTGTGAGTTTTGGCATAGGCCGCTCAACATAAGGATTGTTTGTTGTTCTCTTAAGGAAGTGGTTGTTCTCCATGAGATCTGGCCTTTTTCCATCTGAGGAACAGCAGCTATGTTTACTAAAGTCCCATTATAAACTGCCCCAAATAGACAGCGGTCCTTATTTTCCGCTTGTGTTCCCAGGCTTTGGGTTTTCACACACAAATATGCATGTTCCTACTCACAGGGTCACAGACAGGATTGGGGCAAAATAAAACCGATAGGATATTTTCCACTGGATGATCACAGATCCAGATAAGCTTGGTGTTCAGTGGTCTCATCTATTGCATAAACGCGATACGGCAGAGTGTAAAAAAAAAAGGGCCAGCAAATGCTGTAGACTAATAACCGTTCCCTGTGAGAAACAAAGGGGCACTGTAATAAGAGTCTACATAATATCCAATTATAATGTTACGCTATCTAAAGTCAGTTCAAAATTTTTACCTTATGATGTCATATTCTATTTTTGGGATCAATATAGTTGGCATTCTTCAATAAAACCAGTTCTAAGTTTATAAAACAATCTGAAATAGCAAATCCTCCATTGGGCCGCATTTAAATCTTAAGATGTTTTTTTAAGAAGACATTTGTACATGAATATTATGCTTGTTGAAATCTATTAAAGATTCCTATTGTGGTACAAGTGGAAATCTGTCTTTGAAATCTCTAGAAAATGATTCAGTTAATGGGCAACTCATACTCTCTATTATTTCTGGTGCCATTTCTCCACTGTCATGTGACTATTGACGAAAAAATTCTCTTGGCTGCTGCGGCAGACCCCTCAGTTTCATGTTAACTGCCATTTTACTTCTCTGTCACAATTCTATGGTTAAAATGCAGTCACATACCGATAGCTAACACAGACACCATCCCACTTCCTGTGTGAAAGAAGTGAGAGACAAGTGTACACCGAGGCTGATGATGCAGGTGTTCTGGCTCTGTGTGTGTGTTGTGGGGACAAAATATCCCCAAAAGGATGGTAATACCAGAAATCTTTGTCCTTGTGGGGGTCCCACGGTAAACAGCTTATAAATCATACTAAGTGATGTTTTTTGAAAATGTAAAAATGCAGTTTTCTGTTATGAGTAGATTTAGGGTTAGATTACAATATATACAGTTTGCACAGTTTAAAAATCATGATGTCTATGGAAAGTCCTCATAAAACATGAAAACGCAAAAGAAAAAAGTGTGTAATGTTAACTAGTTTGTGTTCGCCACTGCAGGATCGTCCTTATCTGTGCCAGAAGGTCTTTGTGTGCTGCCTTCTCTGTGCTGCCGTATGGAGAGAGCTTCCACATCAGGTATTCAAACACACACACATTAAAAAAAATACTTATTTAAAACTAGGGTAGGCAATTTCGGAGAGGCCAACAATAGTGAGCTAGCTCTGAAAGCAGAAGATCCCACCCCTTCAGAGCGTCTCCAAAGCCACGCCTCCTTCAAAACACATGGCACAGCCAGAGCAGAGTCTACAAAGCCTCACAAGGAACAGGGTTATATAACCTCATGCGTCAAAGCACAAAACATTACAATAATAATTAACTAAACAACGTAAAGTGCTCGCTCTTGTACCACCTGACTGCTGCAGATCCATTTCGGCGTTGATATTGTTGACATACAAATGCATAAATCCAGTTTTGAGGACAGCTCAGAGTAGTACTGTTATTCATCTCTTTTTTTTTCATGACAGATTCATGTTATTGATCTAATTTGAATGATTCATCTGTGCATATTTAATTTATTTGTATTTATTTATTTATGTATTTTTTACCTTCTTTAATACAAAAACCACAGACTCTCTCTGCTTGTGTATACAGGACTTCTCTAACCATTTGGTCCGATTAAACCCTGTCTCAGGGTTTTACCAAAAATATTATTGTTTTTGCTTAGGATATTTGTTACTTATTTAGTTAGCAGCAGTTATTCACAATTGGTTGACTGGTTTAAAGTTTCTATACTAAAATATACTAATCATATAGAATCATTGATTATTAAGGATGCAGAATTGTTCATTGGATTCTCATTCCTAGCCTTCACTCCCACGACACTTGTCCTTGCATGATCTTTAAATAGACAGATAAACACAAAGAGATATTTCGAGTTGAATGTGCAGTCATTTGGGTTCCTCTGCTCTCCTCTGGGGATTCATATCCAGGGTGAGATTCGGGAAAAATGGGGCAGGAAGGAATTTTTCCCACATCCTTGTGCTGGGCCTAGTTTGACACGAACGACAACACCCTCTCCCTTCCCACCATCTCCATTACAGTTCCAGAAAATGCTGAAATAAAAAAAATTAACATTGAAAACTTGTGAAACTTTCTCTTATCTACCTTTTTCTTGAACACGTAGTCTCGCCCAACTCATAGCGGAATTATCCTTTACATTTCTGGTCATACATTTCATTTTCAGAGCTGATAATGTAATGTTAAACCTATGAAAATAGTTTTTAAAAAGCACATGGCTCCATATTACCATCACGTTACAGTGTTGCTGTGACCGTCTTTTGTTAGTGTCTCACCCGTCAAAGTTTAACGAGTGCGTAGATGACATGAAGCTGCCCGAAGTTAGCTACATTGAAAACAGATGTGCGCTTATATCCTACATATTGCTGCCGATCAGTTGAATTTAAAAATGATAATAGCGCACATATAGGGGTGAATTCAGGTCGATTGGGAAACTTTTTCCTTGTCATCTTTATGGCAAAAAGCATCCCAATCACCATGAATTCACCCTAGCTTTTATGGGGAGCATTTGAACTTAAGTGCTGCAAGCCATGCTCGTTTTCTCTTGTCAGTCTTTGGCATTAAATGCAAGGCATATGGCGCTGTATACGGACATTCTTTTCAGATTTATTGGTGCTCAAAACACATACTTTCCAGGAATTTCTTCAGTTTATTGCTGTCGTTGTGGCAGTCAACAACAGCACAGCTTAACCCTGTGCTCATTTTAACTTTAGTAATGCTCAAAAAGTTTTTTTATTTATTTGTTGCTCTTTTACCCCATTTTAACAATGGGTTCCTATGGAGACAGGACCCAAATGGAAGGTAGAATCCGAAGATTCTATTGGAATCAGGACCCAATAGAAAGTAGAATCATTTGCTCAGGAAAAAGGTGGATACATCACATTTCTGAAAGAGAGAAGACAATTACACAGTCATGCTATGCGAGGCGGTTTGAGACTGTAGATAAGGAATGCTAGAGGAAGGGGAAATATGTGTCTGTTCTGCTAATGATTGAAGAGCAGAGCTGTACACAACAACACTCTCAGTTACTTCTTGAAGAAAAAGCAAATGATTGGGTTATCGGGTTAAATTTGTCTGTATTAGGTGAATTAGACCTGTGATTGTTGAGTTGGCTCTGTATTTAAACTTTTTTTTTTTGCCTCCAATTTGAGTCAGTAAAGATCTGTCTGGTGCTCTTTTAAACCAGGTAACATTACATTTAATGAGCAAACATGTCTTTCCATCTTTTTGGGGGGTGGGACTTATTGAAAGGCTATAGAGCTGCACAATTACTCATTAAAAGATTGCAACCTCAAATTCAAACACCCACACAATCTTTTTCCTAAATGACGGTGATGTCTATTAAACATTTGACAAGTACGATCACAGCGAGTCAGATCTGCGTTGGCTCTGCCACTGACCCAGAGAGAGCAGTTGTCAAGTATAGGAATAAAATAGCTTCATAAACTTTTCACCCACACAGAATCATTATTTCTGTCTTACAATAATTCACAGAAGTACTGGGAAAAACTTTTATAGTTTGTATATAAACACTGATGTCTACAGTAGAGATTAAAATAGAGTAAATCACCTTTTGAAAGTTACTTGACACTTCAAATAAAGATTTTATCAATTATATCGTTACACCAGTAGGCGGCGACAAGTGACTGTTAAAAAATGTATTTGTCATTGAATCATTCATTCAAGAGATTTGTTCAAAAATGCTGATTCATCCAGTAATGAAACATGTGAAGTCTTTATAAGTGGGTCATTGAATAATTCATTAAAACAAAATTTTAAAAATATTTAAATTAATTAGATATTTTTTTTAATAACTGCAGCAATTAACATTTTGTCAGAACCTCTAGTAAATCACATGTTATTTTGTTTAGTTGTCTCTCCAGAATCGTGGGAGAATCGTGACCTCTGTTTGAAACAATAACAAAAAATGTGACTATCCAGAATGGTGCAGCTCTTAGCTCATCTTGAAGGACTTTATTTAGCCAATATATGTAGTGTTAGTCAAAGCTGGTCAGAGGTAGGGTAATATGTAATGGTAATAGGTGGAGGGACATTATAGAGATCATTTGATTGGACAGTTTTGTGAGTGCAAGATGAGTCATGAATATTTTTGGTCTGTTTTTTTTTAGAAGAGGAAAAGAAAAATTTGAATTCATATATCAAATAAAATACATATCGTCAACTACAAGGAGTACACTAAAATATGGATGACCTCAGAGCTGTTAGACATAGACACAAAGGCCACAAAACTCTCCTTTTCATACACAAACACTTTTGCAGCACTAAAATATGAATCCCTAAAGTTTATTTCTAATATTTTTTTAAAGCTTTCTCTCAGTCAAAATTGGTTTTACATGATCATTGCATGCTTTCTCTGACCCTTAGAACTGAACAGGGATGCATTTCCCAAATGCATCATAAGCCTAAGTAGATCATAGAATCATTGCCACCAGTTACCACCGATGCTTTTGAGAAACGCAGCCCAGGCTGTTTTTGCTGCTGTACCTTTAAGACTTCTATAAGTAAATCACCTCAGTTATGGTTAGCTAGCCTAGAAATTATGTAATGTTTGCTCTTAAGCTCTCAGGGTTAGAGTTAGTTGGTAAAAAGTTAATAATTAATTAAATAATAAAAATGTAAAGTTCAAAAATAAAACGCTTCCTAAAAAAATGTATAATATTTTATTTGTTTACCTGCATGTCATGTGACAATTATCCCACATTAGAGAACAGTTAATGTGCAAACGTGTTGTTAAATGATTGAAAATCGAATGAAAAAAATTTGGGAATCCCTGTTCTTAATTATCGATTTAATCAATGAAAACCAAGCATCTGTCTTTGTCTCAGTGACCCTCGTCTGGACGGTCTGCGGCGGAGGCACTCATCCGGAGGAATATCCACCACCCTGGAGATGCTTCCCGGGCTGGAGGGGGTGGAGCTGGACATGTACGGCAGGGTAAGAGCTTGTCATCCCATCACTCACCTGTCAATCAGTCAGTCAGGGAATGTCACAGAGCATCGTTCTCAGTGTACCAGTCGTCCTGCTCAGAAATGACAGGTTTATATCGCCTCATTTGACGCACCCAGGGGCTGTCAGGATGTTTCAGGCTGACAGACAGCTTGTTATGATCTTATATGTATATTGCAGACGGTGTCATACGCTCAGTTCCTGTACCCCACTAACGCTCTGGACCGCCACAAGCCCGCTGTGGATCTCGCTCTACCCCTGCCCTATTCCAGAACCAGCATCACTCACAGCTTTCCTCCCTCTCGCCTCAACAGCACCGTCGGTCTGGACCTGGGTATGTCACACACTCATAAACACATACACACAAACTACTACATCTAGCCTTGTGAGGACCTCTCATAGTCATCTACTGCATTGCTGTAGACTAACCCTAACCCTACACATCCTTGGCTTTATTTGGTATTACTTGACCAATTTAAAACCTTTATACTTTTTAGTTGTGTAATAGGTTATATACAAGATATTAATACTTTTATTCAACAACGATGCATGATGCATTAAATTGATCAAAAGTTACAGTAAAGGCATTTGCAATGTTATAAAAGATTTCTATTTCAAATAAATGCTGTTCTTTTAAACTTTCTATTCATCAAAGCATCTTAAAAAAATGTATTACGGTTTAATAATCAGATATGTTTCTTGAGCATCAAATCATATTAGAATGATTTCTGAAGGATCATGTGACACCGAAGACTGGAGTAATGATGCTGAAAATCTTAAGAGTTCTTTCAAAAACATAGGGAATGAATAAAACGAGGGAATGAATTCCAGTCTCGATTCAGTTCAATTCGATAACGTTTCTTGTATCGGGTACTGTACATGTAAATTTTTCTTACGGAATGTATTTTTTTAGCTATATGGACATTGAATGGCTTTCCTGAGGTAAATGTAACGTTAAGCTGTTTTATTTTCGCGGTTGAAATACGGATTGAGCAATTACATGAGACATGATAAATTTCGGTAAGTTCTACTATATCTTTCACAAAACTTCTGATGTTTATTCATGTTTATCTCTTGCAATATTTGGCCCTCACACATGTTAACAAAATTACACGCACCCTTTCTCTGCTCAGTTCTGTAACCACTTAAATCTCAGCCACAGTGAAATTTGACAACATCTGTAACTCTTTTCTGTTGCGGATTCCTTTGCTTGTGACTTTGTGTCTGTGTGTGTCTACTTGTACAACTATCTTTGTGAGGACCAGTTTGAGTTTTAGCCCATCGCAGTGAGAACATTCTGGCCAGTCTTCACTTTCTGAGAGGTTTAGGTTAGGCAGTTAGTTGTGATGGGTAGGGTTAGAGTAAGGAGCTAGAGATTGTATTGTGTCAGTGAATGTCCTCACAAAAGTAGATGTACAACTGTGCGTGTGGTACTGTGTGTGTGTGTCATAACACCTAAAAGCATTTTAAAGCTAATTCTGGACTGTGGACATGGTGAAATTCTCTTTCATGCATGTCTAAATGGTCACATTAAATCACACAAGCATGCGACACACATACACACTCACACTCAGAAAACAAACACACACGTCTTGCACAAAGAAGTGTGTAGTAACTGATGGGAGCTTAATAAAGGTTTTAATGCTATGTTACTCACAGAGTGGGTAGGGACATTTCAATCAACTTGATAGACACAGTTATTATCACAGTATTTCAGGCACAGGTGTGTGTGTGTGTGTGTGTGTGTGTGTGTGTGTGTGTGTGTGTGTGTGTGTGTGTGTGTGTGTGTGTGTGTGTGTGTGTGTGTGTGTGTGTGTGTGTGTGTGTGTGTGTGTGTGTGTGTGTGTGTGTGTGTGTGTGTGTGTGTGTGTGTGTGTGTGTGTGTGTGTGTGTGTGTGTGTGTGTGTGTGTGTGTGTGTGTGTGTGTGTGTGTGTGTGTGATAATTACTAATATTGCTCTCCCTGCGGTCTAATACTTAGTGAGTGTGTGAGTCATCACCGCTCTTTCAGCTCTCTGTATTCTTGTACCTTATTTCACAAACCTACATTAGCTACACTTGTGTCAGCCAAGTTGTTGCTGATTGTAAGTACTGAGTACAAGTGGTAAATGGTAAATGGACTGCATTTATATAGCGCTTTCACAGACCCAATGGCCACCAAAGCGCTTTACATTTTGCCTCACATTCACCCATTCATACACTCATTCATACACATACATAATACAAGTGCTGTTTATGTGTGTTGTTTTAAAGGGGTATAACTTCCCACTATAATGAAAATCCTGTCATCATTTACTCACCCTGACAGATGTTTCTTTTTTGGGTGAACTATGCCTTTAATATAGCTCTGCTCAGTCAGTGCAGAAAGATGCACCATTATCTCAAAAACATGTATACACGTCGTATTTAGTTACTGTATGTTATCTGTGGTTTGATTGGATCATTTGACAGCTGTTTTTTTGTGTGTTTATGTTTGATTTTTCAGGCCTAGAAGACACTGAGTATGACCCTAATATGCTCAGTGACCCCCAGTGGCCATGTGGAAAACACAAAAGAGTGCTCATCTTTGCCTCATACATGGTGAGATGGAGATACAGTACATATATATCCATTATTCTATTGAACATATACAGTATATATCTTTATATATATATATATATATAACCTGGACTTGTTCTTAAAAGGTTTTCTGAGAATCTTCCCCCTATAACACAACTGCTCAGCCATTTAGCTTTTCACAGATGTTTGTGTTTTTGGAAATTTAATGCAGCCCAGTTTGGTCATGTTTCTTGTTTTTGGACATGAATTTACCCATCAGACACATTTGTAGGGATGAATGGCTATCTGTGTGATTTTAAGGTCAGTCTGACCAACAGACACGGATAAAAATAACTTATCCAGCTGACGCCATTACTGACCACTGGAAAATACTGCTTATACACTGTAATTTATTTAATTTTTTTATTGCTGAATATCTTACTAACATGTAAATCCTTAGTGTTTACTGTCACTCTCTTTCTCACACTGTGGTTCTCTCACAGACGACAGTAATAGAGTACGTCAAACCATCAGATCTGAAGAAGGACATGAATGAGACTTTTAAAGAAAAATTCCCCCACATCAAACTCACACTGAGCAAAATCAGAAGGTACACACAAATTTTAACTCTTATTTCAATAACTGTTTACATGCACAGGAATATTCCTATGTTAATCAGAATATGGTCATATCGTTGTATGCGCGAACATGTTAATCCTATTTCAATATCCAGTTTAAGCCAAAATTCTTTAAAAGACAGCTTTAACCCTTGTGAAAATGAAGCATACTTGTAAAAAGAGTACTTATTATAGAAATAACATGCTTTAAAAGAATATGCTCGAGCGCAAACTGCATGTAATGTTTTCAGACACATACTTGCATGTTCTTGCAATTAAATGAAAATGTATTATAGACTAAATGTATTCTAAATGCAATTTGCTGAACTTCCGAGTGCTTTGGGGTACTTTTGTCCCACTTAAGTAGGACTTAAGTACATCTTTTTATGTAATGTCATAATGACTTTTATTGTCTAATGAAATATGGTTCAAGTGTACTGCCGAATGTACTAACAAGCATTTATGGTAAACTAAAATATACTTTAATGTAATTTCTAGTGAAACCTGAATGTCATATTTAAATATATTTGTAATTATGAAATTGCAATATTGAATTACACAATACAGTTGGAATTAGTACTTTACATGTGCTTTATTATTTCAAATATTTATTAAAACAATGATTTAAAATGTACTTTATAGTAAAATGTTGACATTATTACAAAGTGCACTTTTTTATAAGTGTACTTAAGTGTGTTAAAATTCATAGGCCCTGTTTACACCTGGTGTTCTGTCTCTTTTGTCCACTTTCGACCATTTCTGTCTTGGACAGGTAACTGTGTGGGATTTTTCGGATCTTTCGATCTAATGATGAAACCGATCGAAGTAAGCTCACACAATTTACATATGAACTTGCCTGGAGACGACAGAAAACGTTTTAGAAATCAGGAATGGTGCGAGAACATTGTGCTTCAAGAGAGCATTTTCGTCTTCAAACCAAACTTGGGTCTTGAGTCTACATTTTTTCAAGTTTAAATCCCGTCTGGCTATCCCGCATCCTATAATGTTTACGCGTTTGGTCAGTAGGTGGAGAGCAGGTGGTCTTTTGTGGTTGTTTAGACCACATGAGCGAAAGCAATCTGGTCGAATGTGTTTTCGACTACCTCTGGAAGTGGTAGTAAATACTCACCTGTATTTAGCGTCGTCCACTTGCGATCCGAATGATGAAAATGCTACTTAATACCAGGTGTAAAGCTCTTTAATTTCATTGCACATTCAATACAATGACAATTATTTAACCTTTTTAATTTCTTCTCTTTATCTCTCCTAACATCTCTGTCATTCCCTCTCGTCATCAGTTTGAAGAGAGAAATCCGTTCAGTGGGAGAGGAGTCTTTGTTGCAGCCGGCCACCATTGCCATGGCATTTGTGTACTTCGAGAAGCTGGTCCTACAGGGGCGTCTCAACAAGCAGAACAGGAAGCTGGTGGCGGCAGCGTGCCTCCTACTCGCTGCCAAGATCAGCAGCGACCTGAAGAAACAAGAGGTCAAACAACTGATTGACGTGAGTGACGCTTTGCCACACACTTTCCAGTCAACACACATACACTACCGTACAAGTTTTGTTTTTTAAAGAAGTTTCTCGTTCTCACCAAGGCTGCATTTGTTTTATCTGAAATACAATAAAAACAGTAATATATTGAAATATTATTACAGTTTTAAAACAACCGTTTTCTGTTTCAATATATTAAAATTGAATTTATTCCTGTGATGCAAAGCTGAATTTTCAGCATAATTTATCCAGTCTTCAGTGTCACATGATCCTTCAGAAAAAAATCATTCTAATATGATGATTTGATGCTCAAGAAACATTTCTATTATCACTTCTATTATCAATTTTTAAAGTAGTTGTATTGTACTAAGCAGCTGCTTAGTATTTTTATGGAAACCTTGATACATTATTTTGGGATTCTTTGATGAATAGAGAGTTCAAAAGAAGAATTTAGTATTAAAAGTATTAATTAAAAAAAAACTTGCTGACCCTTTTAAACAGTGGTGTACAAGCCTTAACGGGTTAGTTCACCCCAAAATGAAAATTCTGTCAGTAATTACTCACCCTCATGTTGTTCCAACCCTGTAAGACTTTCGTTCATCTTCGGAACACAAATTAAGATATTTTTGATAAAATCTGAGAGCTGGATCACTCCTCCATAGGCTTCTTAAGGGATCGATACTGGCCCGCCCAAAAGTTATGAAAGACATCGTTAAAATAGTCCGAGTGACTACAGTGGCTCAATCTTAAGTTTATCAAGCGACGAGAATACTTTTTGTGCGCAAAAAAAACAAACAAAAATAACGACTTTATTCAACTATTAATTTCCTTCTCTGTGGGCCTCGAGATTCCACGTAGTGATATTGCGCAAAGCTTCTGCGTTGCACGTCACACGTAGGCTCACTATTGGCCGACGCTGGTCATGTGTGTGATGCGTGTGACGTACAACCTAGAAGCTTTGCGTAGTTTCATTACGTGAAATCTCGAGGCCAACAGAAAAGGAAATGAATAGTTGAATAAAGTCGTTATTTTTGTTTGTTTTTTTTGCGCACAAAAAGTATTCTCGAGTATTTGCGCACAAAAAGTATTCAAACTTAAGATTGAGCCACTGTAGTCACTCAGACTATTTTAACGATGTCTTTCATAACTTTTGGGCCGGCCAGTTTCGATCCCTTAAGAAGCCTATGGAGGAGTGATCCAGCTCTCAGATTTTATCAAAAATATCTTAATTTGTGTTCCGAAGATTAACGAAAGTTTTGGGGGGAACTAACCCTTTAAATAGAGTAAAATAAATCTTTATCGAGTGCTTTATTTTTTTTCTTTTATATGCAGATTATGTACACTCTATGTGTCAGTCCAAAATCCACTCGCCCTTGTCAAAGTTGTCAGTGTTTATTGTACATCTATCTGTTTTTTTCTCTGCCCTCAGAAATTTGAGGAGAGGTTCCGGATTAGCCGTCGGGAGCTGATTGCTTTTGAATTCACCATCTTGGTAGCGCTGGAAATGGCACTTTACCTTCCGGAGAGTAAAGTCATGCCCCACTACCGTAGATTGGTGCAGCAGACCTGACGTGGGCTCAGGGCAGTCGTGAACATGCAGATGAGATGCGTAAAACAGCCCAAAGTGTGGGACTCTGCGTTCCCATCATTGCGGTTTCAGGTATCAGAGCGAGTACACATCAACACAGGAAGAACTGATGTTCCAAATGATGCTTTTTATAGCAGTCGGGCCTGCGGCATTTGTTTTTCGTGGCTGTCTGTTTTTGTGACCACCATGGGAATACTGCTAAAGGAATTTTCCTTTATTGAAAACAGAGGGTTTTTTACTCTCAGACGACAAGGGAAGAGTTTAACTCCTGCTACTTCACTTGTGTGAAATGTACAAGTGTGAATGCATGTTTTTAACATTCCATTTCTATTTACCAAAAATAACTTTTATTTAATGTAGACCTCTCCTTTTATACAGAACCACCTACCATTCACTGTAACACTAAAGCACTTTTTTATCTATACATGTATTTTATCTAAACCTTATGCAATTATAATAATATAATCATTAGCACAGATTGCATAACATATATGCATTTAATTTAGTAGCATACTCTTGAAAGCGTTATTGAGTGACTAAATCTACCTTGGAATTCAAACCCAACATGTATTTGGGGCTTCATTTTACTGTGAAGAGTGCTCTATATTAGAGCTGGTTTCAAGAAAAGCACATTTTCAGTGCTGTGTGTTGTTCTCACTTTTTTCTTTTTATAGAATTAAAAAGAAATCCACTTTTTTTTTTTATTCCACAGAAGAAAGAAAGCCCTGTAAATGATGTAAATGAGTAAATTATGACAGAAGTTTTTTTGGGGTGCTGTGTGTGTTTGTATGTGTATATATATTTCAGCAAGGATGCATTAAATTGATCAAAAGTTACAAAAAGGACATTAAAAAAAAATATTAAGCATCACAACTGTTTTCAACATTGATAATAATAATGAATGTTTCTTGGGCATCGGATCATCATATTAGAATGATTTCTGAAGGATCATGTGACACCGAAGACCGGAGTAAGGATACTGAAAATTCTGCTTTACCATCAATAAATTACCATATAAATTATATAATAATAATTACATTTTAAAATATATTCAGAATAGTTATTTGACATGATAACAATATTTTATAATATTATTGTTGTTATTGTATTTTTAATCAATTAAATGCAGCCTTGCTGAGCCTCACTGTTTATTTATTAACTGCCATAAAACATTGTGTTCAGTCTCAATTTTCATTGACTAGTAACCATATACTGTATCATGAGAATTATCATGAAAAAAAACTTAACTTGTTATTTGTAGAAATGCCAGCCATTGTGTTGAACTTAAACAAGTTTTCATGTCTTCCAGCACCCACAATCTATGCAATATTTGTAGATTCTTTTTGTCCCATTTCCTCACAAAATATCCCAGTCCCAATTCAAATCACACATTCATGCCTGATATTATAGATTATATTTCAGTGCAGACTGTTGTGGAAAGGTTTTGTGTTGTGTGTCGGTAGCCAGTTTGCTGCTTTGTCCTTTATAGACGGTGTATTTTACGTACTGTGGTCTCAATCAATACATCCTTGTATTTACTTAGGCCTAGATAATGTGCTGGTAATATTGTCTACAAACGTCTATGATGTATTTTTGAAATAAGCTTTGTTTTCCAGTAATGTTTTCTTATTCAGATATTGTGCTAAGCGAGACATTTGCACTTTGAAGCAGCGCGTGTGCTATGGCGCCATCTAGAGGAAGCGATTTACAATCACATGTCAATAGAGATGTTAGGAAGTGGATTTTGCGACATAACAAGCTCATTTACTCAGGAGATATCTATGTAAATCACTCATAGATTGGACATTTTTCCAGGTTTTATTACTTTGTTTTTCGTGTGTGCTACTTTTTGAGACCGAGAGCCCCAGAAAAAAAACTAAGATAGCAGGTATTAATGAATAGGAAATCTGAAAAATTACTTTTACACACGTTCAATTAAAGTGCCTAGGAATGTTTGTAATGAATAATTTTGTGAAGAGAGAAAATGGAAATAAAAGCAATTTTATTTAGTTTATTTACACTGTGATATTTTTATAGCCTCCAATGTTGCCCTCCAGAGGCAAAACGGTACCAATTTCCTTTTTTTTGTCAAGATCTTTTTTTTTTTGTTATTTGATATCAATATTAACACACAATTTAATTCGAATCTGAGCATAGCTGAGGTAAACCCATCTCTCACTGGACAGATCATATTCTGAGAGACCTGATTTTGCTCAGCCTAATGTTTTATTTTTGCACGGCATCTTCTATTCTGCTCATGATTATTATACTTCAGCTCAGTGGACCGTTTCAGCGGTTGTGATTGTTCAGTGTGTGATAAGTGTTATATCTCCATTGGATGTTTCAGTTGTGTCGTTGTCTACAGTTCTACTGTTATTGTTTATGTCAAAGGTCAGAGGTGAAGGAGAGTGAATCCTCAAGAGAACAGAAAACAGACAGAGTAAAATGCATTTCCTCTGATCTCTTCCATGGAGTTGAACAGATTTAGCTAATCTTCCATTTATGAATTATGATAGGAAGGCTGGGAAGGACACCAGCAGCAGATAAGAGATATGGCTGCATTGTATTGCTGTAATTTGTCCTCTTAGGTAGAGATATAACGTCTCTCTCACTGATGTCCTGTAAACCAACTCCATACAGCTGTCTTTTCATGTCCTTCTTAGCTATGCTCTCTCTCTTTCTCTCTCTCTCTCTCTCTCTCTCTCTCTCTCTCTCTCTCTCTCTCTCTCTCTCTCTCTCTCTCTCTCTCTCTCTCTCTCTCTCTCTCTCTCTCTCTCTCTCTCTCTCTCTCTCTCTCTCTCTCTCTCTCTCTCTCTCTCTCTCTCTCTGTTGTTACAGGTGACCTTTATTTAGCTTGTCTATGAAGAATTTTATTTGTCGGTTAATTGTCATTATTGTTGAGTTATCATGCACTTTCACAAATATATTTTCTAAAATCACTGACTACTTGTGCAAGTGACTTATTTATATTTCTGGATATTGTACAACGGAAAGATCATCCTTCTGCACAATATGACTAGAAATACAAGTACTTTTCTTTCCACCATTTACAAAATAGCATATGGTTACAAAAGGTGTGTAGCCTGAATGAATCTATAACTAGAAGTTCGAAATTGTTCGAATGAAACTGAAACAAATTAGTTCACAATACTGTACTAATCAGCTGTCTGACTGAATAGAGGTGAAGGCTGTTTATTTAAAGTTTATATGCAAAACAATAGATACTGTTTGTCTGAGATACTGAAGCATGACCGTCATAGTTCCACAGTGGGGATTCCTTTCGTGTGGGATATCCTTACCACCAGTGGCGTAGGTTTGATTTTTAAATTGGTGGGGACGGGGACACTCAGACGTGGATATTTTAAGTTTTGATCGAAATTATTGCTAGGGATATATCAGTGTCACTGCATATTGGTAGGGACACGTCCCTAGCGTCCCTACTAAATTCTACGCCCCTGCTTTACCACAATGATTACTACATTCAAACAAAGAGGATCTCCTTTCCCCTGAACACAGATGAATCCCTCATGTTATGCATCAAGTTTAAACAGAAAGTCTGAACTGAAAATATATATTTTTTTTTTAAAACATAGAATTGAGATGAAAATAACTATGTGACATAGTGTGGGATCTGAATGAGTAGCTACACAAATGTAGTTTTTTTTTTTTTTATATTATCATGCACAGAACACATTGTTGTCCCCAGGAATCAGTTAAATGATGTAGGGACTGGCTAGGACTTTAGTGTCCTTTAGTGCTGCTGGGTCATCTAAAAGTCGAGGAGTAGCCATATTAATTAACAAAGGCTCAGGAGGGAGGTTAAATATGAGGAGGGCAGAATAATTATTATAATATATAATATAATATGAAGGCCTTTCTAAGGGGATTTATTATTCAATATTCTTCTCATAAGAAGAAGGTCAATGCTGCTAAACTCACAGATCTAGAAAGGAGAAATTAAGAACATTGAAGCAACAAGGAATATATCTGAATCTATTTTAAAAGTCATCTTCATTTATATAGCGCTTTTAACAATGAATTGTTTCAAAGCAGCTTTACAGAGATAAACATATAATCTATATAAGGTAACAGATTGTTTTGGCGTTATAGCGGTTCTTGAATAATGTTACTTCCAGCTAAAGTTAACTTTGATTGATTCACCTCCGTCGAAATGATCAGACTTTAAACGCAAACCTGTGATTAACGCTGACGGCGTTCACATGCACATTCAGAATTCTATAGTTATGTGCTTTTTAAAATATGTGTGCAGGTTTGTAATGCATACAACCCAGCCTAAACAAACTACTTTTCTTGCCTATAAATTTTGATACAGAATTTTGTTTTATTTTTTCACTTCCGGGTACGCGAGCCGGAATTCACAGCGCTTTATCTGTAGAGTGGGAAAGGGATCCTCCATAGGGAGAGGATAGTGGATACTTCAGCACTGCATTGTCATCGGGTCCAGGCGAATCTCCTTTGTCAGATCTGGATCCGGCAGGCTGCGGGAAAACCTCGGGATAAACAAAGACACTAATATTAGCGTAGATGCCATTCTTCTTATGATGTAGCGAGTACATCAAGATTTAAAGGGTCATGAAACCCTAAACCAAATTTTCTGAGATTTTAACAGAGGTATGTGTGTTGAACAACATTGAAGACAATGTTAGCATCTGTTAGATTTAATAGTAGGGCGAAAATGGTTAAATTTGAGTTTTTTCCAGCTATTTTCGTCTTCCGGGTTTAAAATCTTCATCGCAGGCTGTGACGTGGCAGTGCACAGTGTAGTGCGTTGATGACTCATCGGTCTCTCATAATTATTAATGAGACTGAGTTTTTATATCCTATGAGAAGACACGGTCTCTTAATTATTCATGACACCACGTGGATCTTTCCACAGACATGTCAAACTGTGATATCGCGTAGTAAAGGAGAGAGACCATCATGGGACGCAAGTGCCGCAAACATTTTACCCGAGAGAGCTTCGAGAATTGGAGAATGGTGGACTTCGGCCTTGTCGATGACCAATGCAAGTTACGTCTTGCGAGTAATGCGGTACCAAGTCCTGAGGTCTTTTCCATCCCTTCAGAGTGTGTGTCTAAAATGTAACCCTGGTCATTTTACTTGCCTTTTGTTAAATAAGCGGTCGTTATGAACATTTTAGATATTTCGATAATATATCAATTGTATGCTTAATGCGGGAGACTTGTGAATGTGTAGTGTTGACGTGCGGGCCGGGCGACACCGTGTTGTGTGTGTGTGTACGTGCAGGCAGGCGAGCCTGCGAAATGATTCGGGGTCAGAGAGAGAAGCGGTAGAAGAAGAAGAAGAAGAAGAAGTTTTATTTATATAGCGCCTTTCCGAAGCTCAAGGTCGCTTTACATGGTACCTTTATAATACATTTAACACTGACGCACAACTTTACAATCACAAAGGACACATATAATCACATTTAGACGAAGTACATGTTAAACAGATATGTTTTTAACTTTGTCTTGAAAGCAGTCACTGATGAAATATTTCGAAGTGAAAGTGGCAGTGAATTCCATAATGTTGGCGCATTAAC